CTTTAATTCTCACTTTGTCTCCATTATCCTATGTCCTTGTTTCACAACCATATTTTGACTGGTTTAGCCATGTTTCCAACAATTTAAAATATGTAAACCTCAACATTATTTTATTAGAGTGTCTGTAAAAACTTCTTCCTAACCAGATATCTGGATTTTATTTTCCAAGTCTATCATGACATTTTGTTTTAATAAATTTGCTACTAATAGCAGTTCATCTAATCTCTCTGTGAATATAATTCAGAAGGAACAGTGATGCCAAGGGAGTAAATTAGAGAGATGAGAGCAATTTCTACCTAAACAATGAATATTTACCACTGCAAAGAAATGAAGGAAGAAAAGTGAGGAGGAACAGCAACACAGACCAAAAGCTATGCTTTATTATTCATCACGTGGTTTATCATATAATTTGAACACAGAAAAGGCATGGGAATTAGACTGAATGATTGCACTATAACTAATTCACATGCTTTAGACTGTAGTCGTCTTAGTGGTAACACCACGCAGTCACAGAGGTGGTTACCAACATTTTAAAGGAAGCTGGGATGTGGATGGATAATATAAAATGCACAGACTGGGCCAAGGCAAACAAGACTGACCAATCACAGCTTGGGGGGACAAAGCCTTTTTCAGGTCAATGAGAAAAAGGGAAAAGGAAAGTAATTGTCCAGAGTCGGTATAAAGGAAGACTGGAGTCAAGTAAATATATGTAAGCAAGCACCTGATCCTTCAGGAGAACATCCTGTGTTCATTCAGACTCACAGTTACAATGTATGCTATTTCCCATTTTGCAGGTATGGGAGCCATGGGGATCAGTTCCTCTGTTGGAGCCAATACTCTTAACATTCTTCTCTGTCTGGCGATGCCTTGGTTCATCAAATGCATTGTACAAATTGCCCAGACTGGAGATGCAAGCACCGGTTATGTCGAAATCATGTCAGAAGGAGTAACGTACAATTGTTTCTCTCTACTTGGCTGCGTTCTGCTGCTTTATGCTGTTATAGCTATGTTCAAATTCCAGCTTGGAAAATGGCTTGGCTTCACATGCGTCATCATGTACTTTATCTTCATCTCATTTTCAGTCCTCATTGAAATGAATGTATTCTTTTTTGTTAACAAGCCATTGTGTGTTGAAATATGAAAATAATAATTCATACTGACATTTCTTTATCTCACATTTTATTCTTTCCCACAGATTTCATTCTCAGTGAAATTTTATGTGGAGAACTGTATTTATTTTTGCACAGTGACCAGAAGAAAATGCTTCCTAATTCAGTTTCCTCCCTCTTATATTAATATTTCCCCATTTAACCTCTTCCCTCTGCCAACTGGAAGTTCTGTGAGTGAATGTGACTTGCATTACAATAGAAAATATTTCTCGCGCTCTGCAGACTTTAAAAACATTTCAGCTGACAATTTGAGACTTCAAAGAACATTTTATGCCATTTTACACCACAGCAAGGTTCAATGAATGGAAAAGATGATTACTTACAACATGCTACAAGACTGAGGTAAAAAAACTAGCTTAGGCTAACCAAACTTACAAGATACAGATTGACAGAGATGAATCTAAGACTAAAATCATAGAGGTTATGATAACTGTATGAAGTAAAGGGAGGAAGGGAACTGAAATGATTGGCATTTATAGAGTATATCAATGAGGAACATTAAAAACATGGGAAGAGCTGAAACTTGAAGATTGCTGGCCCGAATCAGAGGAGAGAAGTAGTTGAAACAACTAACTGACTGGACACCAATTGTTATTGGAAAGTGTAAAACAAAACATGGTTATTCAAGGAATTTGAAGAAATGGGTTTAGAACAATTGATTTTTATGGAATATGAGAACAGGAAACCAATAAAAAGGGAAACTCAGGATGAATAAGATAAGGATGGGTCTACAAATTCCATGTTTGCAAACTAATGCAAACTGTATTAACATTAATAGGTATAAATATGCAAATGTCAAATTTATTACTGTTTTTGTAGGAAAGGTTATGAGACGTGGTTCTGTTGTATTCCAAGAGAGAATAAGCTCAGAGCCAATTAAATCCACTCCACACTCTCCAATCCTATTTCTTCCAATTTTAATATTAATATCCTATCTATATCTACATCTTCCAGATGGTCTCTTCCCTTCAGTCTTTGAGTCTGAAAGCGAATTTAATCAGGTGTTCTCCTATGCACATAACTTTTTCAGTATCTTGTCCTTTTCTCATATATAAAATCAATTCTGTACATTGCAGTTTAAAGATTAAACTGGATAAGTAATTAAAAATAGCTAAGGCATTTTTCTAGAAAGAACACATCTAATCACATTCCTGTACAGACAATAATGAGGGGGCATTTAGACTAGTATCCCTGCCCACATACTGGGAGATTCACAAGAAAAAATGTGTTCAGTTCTATGAGGGTTGCCATAATAAGAAATACTACATACATGAAAAGACAGACTACTCCAACTTTGTAATCTAGTTTGAAATCATTGAAAAAGAAAGCGGCATAGAGAAGAAATAGCGTAGAAAAAAGGGAAACAGCACTGTATGCCATACCACCAGAATTGATCTGAATATAATGTTGGCCTTCAACTGCAGGTAGGAAAACACATTTGATCAGCCAAGGCAGTCCAAGACACAGCAAAATATCAAACGTGTTTGAACCAATAGAATTACTGATTCCCATGTTTCCATGACCTGTAACAGAATAATTAGAAATATGAATATTAAAATAATACATAAGTAGAATACTCAAAGGATAATCAACCTAAATAATTTCTGCATTATCTTACGTGGTGATGTACATGGCTGGATGTGTATACCTCTAACAACTTTCCAACAAACTAGTCAACTTTCATGAAATGCAGAAGAAAGTTATACCATTGGATATTACTCAGACACAATGATTACCATATTCTTTCTCTGAACAACTCCAACAGTTAAATTATGATTAATTTTATTAAGGTAGCTATTTAGTGTAGTATGCTAAAAACTTATGATAATATAAGTTTAAATAAATAGTTATTAACAGTAGCAATATGCTCCACAATTACAGAATTACATAAATAAAGTAGTTTGATTCCTGGCATTGATACTAATAACCTCAAAAATTAAATACTGAATACTCTAACAGAAGTTATGCACTTGATGCAAGACTCAAGGGAATGACAGTAGAATGTAGCAAATTACACTTTGTTTTGTCACACAGCAAAGCAAAATATGTATGTATCAACCTACTTCAGGGGCAGAGCATTAGGGTGTGGACAGGATTGAACTGGTTCTGGGTAGGGTCCAGTCCCAGAATCTTCAAAACTCTGTAATCTTAACCCTCAAGTTCCATATAAGATTGGGAATCTTTTACCATCTGAATCACTATCAGATTCTTATAAAGAGTTCTGTTCAATTGAGTTTGTTACTAATATACCAAACAGCAATTATTACGATTTACCTTGGTTGGTTACGATCATGCTTGAAACAGCTTCTGGTACACTCATCCCTGCAGCCAAGAATGTAAGACCCATTACAGAATCTGGAATCTTCAAAGTGTCTCCTACAAGGTAAAAGTCATATTTTATTACAGCTTCAGAGATAAAGTAAATTAAATCCAGGCCTGCACATAAAAATAACATAACCTCAAATCCTACAACATATTTTGTGTACAATCCCTACAAGATGTCCTGTAAGTTTACTTGGTATATCCTATGTCATTATACGGTAATAAATTGAGAATTAGCTTAGAGAATTAAGTCTGAAAACGAATTCTGATTCTTTAGAATTGATTTTAATCTGGGTCTGAACTATTTGTTACATTGGACAATGGAAGAGAAATTATCAGATAAATTTAATGAGGCCAGTCTTACCACAAATCTGTTGATAAATAAAGTAGTACAACTTTCAGGAAAGAAAAAGGTCTATACTAGAGGTGAATGTAATCTCAATGAATAAAACTGAAATTGTGTTGCTGTCTGACATGATACCAAACGTATGTTCACTATGAGGTTGCACCAAACCCTACTTTTCCATATTCTGGCCAAACACATTCATCATATCTCATAGCCACATATTTTTCAGTGATATTTTCCTAAAGTGTAACCTGCATATTCAGAAAGAGGTTATGACTATGCACATGTCTGAAAATAACTAAATATAAACACAATATTACAGACTAGCATATAAGATTACTTAAAGTGTTGTAGCACATTCAAGAAATTTACATTATGATGTACCCTGGGTCTTATAAATCTGTATTCTAGTATTCTGCATACCTATAACAGTTATCATCCATGCAATCAGATAGGAAGTTGTACCAATCCAAATGATACACATAAAGAAGGTCACCATGTAGAATCTCTTACAGAATTCTGAATGGCAATTTGGGATTGTTGCAGCCAACAATATGGCAAGTGGTCTAATAAGAAGCCACCACAATTTGCTGCAGCAGCTGTCATTCGATGGCCAACTACATAATCCAATTGTATGCTCTGAAACAGAATAATTAAGAACAACTGTTGCAATATGGTTTGTGAAAGAAGTAATGTAAAATTGTTCCCAGTAATAGATTATAGGCCATATGTAGTTTTCATGTTGGGTGGTGAGAGAAGTATTAACATATTAGTAAATCAGAATTACTTTTAAATATTAAGACTCACAAAAGTGCACTATTTACACTAATTCTGATACCTTTATTCAGATTTCTTTTCAGCCTGCTTCTGGAAGTCTAAGTATATGACCTAATTAATAACTTGGGAAAAATTACAATGTTAGTGTGCCAATGTAAGATTACTAATTGGACTGATATTAATTCTCGTTCAAGACAAACTCAAATACTTTATTAATTTTATACATTCTTTTGCAGAGTAATCTGAGTCATGAGTACTGACATTTTTTTGTCAGAACCAAACTTTTGTGATTCACTGCTAAAACTTATAAGAGAAAGGAGTTTTCCAAATTCAATAACTCCAGATACACTAAAAGAACCTTAACATTTGATCTTATTCTTTTTCTTTCTTTCCTTCATTTTGAGAGAGGGGTGTTTACAAACTTTCTTGTGCAATGTCCATTTTATGTCTGCTGCTTTTAATTTAATTTAAAATTCTGGCAGTATATCGGGGAGTATTTTGAATAAAAATATTTAGGATAACACTTTAGTTCAGTCCATCAGAACTTCTTATTAACATTAGGTTACTTTCCTTTAACAAATAATATTTTACTTAAAATGTACACCTATATCATAATTAAACTTAGTTGTATTTGTATCAGGCACATATTTTTCTCCTTATATGATGAACTAATTTTGAGAAATTTTATAATATTAAATGGAGCATAGAAGTGGCTGCATCTTTCCAGTCTTATACACTGTTATGCTGGAAGAAGGGAAGACGTGATTCATCTATATATAATTTAATGAAGCTATATTTTACCACAGTTTTACCCCTAATATTCTACATTCCATCAACTGGCATACAATTTTATAATTCCTTACCTGGAATTTCCTTGTCAATGGTAATGATAGTATTCTCCATACTTTCTACATCTCCATTATGTTTTGCATATCCATTCTCTGAAAAAAGAAACATAAATCTGAAACACGGGGATCACCATACAGTGCTAATATATTGACTGATCTTTGTACTAAAAGAGACAAACAAAAAGCATATTCAGCAACCAATTGACCTTATAGGTCTTTTGAGACATTCAACACACCTATAACTTCATTATGCAGAATGGTTTTGAAATGTACACCATTAACTGGACACACAGGGCTATAGAGCCAATGATGATGATGATATAATAATGCAAAACAGAGATAATATAAATATTCAAGGACACACTTTGTTACAGTCTTACAGAGGTAGGCTCCATTGCAGGATGGCAACACTGGACACTTCATCAGCAATAAATGATGGTTATAGAAAGCATTGGCTAAATAATGGTCCAGTGGTGTTACATAGTATTCTGAAAATAAAATAATGAAATACCCATATGCCCTTGTTCACTTCATGCGTTATATTTATTTTTGCCATAACAATTTCAGATTGAAATATAGGAAAAATAAAAGACATTTACTTTTTTGAAATGCATGTAAACAATGTGTAGGAATTTTCATTCTGAATTATATTTGTCAACATGCTTAGTAATAATTAACAGTCACAAAATGAGATAATGAGATCCCCTGCAAAAAGAAGAGAGATAATTCTGTTTAAAACATAACATCCCTTTGCCCGTAACTTAATAGGTTGCTGTGGTAAAGTATTCATTTTATATTCTGCTTACCATGTACTTGGTGAGTGACTTCAAAAGTAACGAGTTTGCTCCCATGCACATACTGTGCAATTAAAGGGCTTGTCTCTGTCATGATAGCATTTCCAGGTATCTGTTTATAACCATGTCGATGCTGTTTGCAGCAGCTTCCACTTAACCAATGCCCAATTTCCACATAGTAATACATAGCTGAAGCAATAAACATACATTTCAGGTTTCTTGCTCAGCAGAAATAGTAACAAAGTCTTCAAATGTGTAATCATGATTAAACAAAATAAACAAAAATGAACTGCAGTGTACATATGCAATGAAAAAGTTCCCAAGAGCATTCTTGTCATTCAGTTAAGAATCTTTTATTTTTTTGCCTTTTTTCTGAAAATTACAGATTAAAATATACAGAATTACAAAAATATGTGTTGTTCTGTACTACTAAAATGGATCTGAATGAAATATGTTGTGAGGGTGTGGAATGAATTCAACAGTCTCAGAAGAGGGTCAAATGTTGGGATCTTGTACAAAGCTGAGAGTTCCATAAAATTAGTTAATTAGTTCTCTTCATAATTTTCGAAATATGATATTATACCATAGTAAATAATATGGTTCACTTATATTCAACAATTATGTTCATTCTTTAGTAACATTATTAAAAGATATTAACATATAAGGTTTAATCTGAAAATATGTTACACATCTTAACAACACCTTCAAGAGTCACAGCCAGATGAAGACTTCATGACGCCTAAGTTATGATAAACATAAGACCAATATAAAAATTAATAAAAATACAAAGCATTATTAATAAACACTGTTAAAGAAGTTTATTTGAATACACCGCCACTTTTATAAAAAGGAATCTTGGGAAATAGGTTACTTTAATGTAAAGTCACCTTAGAAGGGTTCAGAATTTCAGGTATAAAGTGACAGTGATGAGCTTTATTATACTACCTCCAGAAATTTAAAATGAGGAGGAGGAATGGCATGAGTCCAGTAACCTGTTTCTGTATTTCTAAGTGGTCACTCTTTGGAATCTTTCATGAAAATCATTTTACATTACATTTAACATCTGTCAACACCTCCTTCAGAAATACTGATTCCAATGGCACACAGTAAGCATGAAATATTACATAACTTAATTTGAAGAAATAGAAATGAAATTTAATTACCAGAAATGAAGATCTGATATAAATAACCTACAACACATAAAGGCAAAGTTCTCTGTAAATTAAGCGAAAGCTCCAGTCAGCACTGGACAGATATTAACTGTCAAATTCATGTACCGACTGCATTTACCCCCAGAAAACATATTTGACAAGATGCTTGATGAGATATATTATTTATATATATATATTATATATATATATATATTATTCTGGGTGTGGTGGTTCTTGTGGTGCAGTTGAATATATTAATAACTGCAATGATACTTAATGGAAATGTAATCAGTTTCTCAAACAAAAATTATATAATAGCCTTAAAGGCAGACAAAACAAGTCTGTAACACCAATAACATCTATGCATGCATGTGTGTATGTGTATTATGTAGATTTTGTGACCTAACTAGCCTTTAACCCTTTACCAAACAAAGTTCACCTACTATTTATAATTTGGATCCTATCTCAAAGACAACATATCGCATCTTCATTACAGTGATCAGTCAGTTAATGTTGTTTATAAAAACAAATATAATTTAAGCTGGAAACCACATTAAACCAATAAATACAATCTGTGTGGCAAAATATACAGTTACTGATTGTTAATGAAGGCTACTGAGAGCTAAACTCAATGAATGAGTGTATGTTTATATATCAAGCTTCACAGGTGTCATGCATATGTTCTTACCTAATATGTACAAAGAGTACAGCAGTACAAGAATGAGGGCTTCATACCACTCAATACGGTCATCCCACAGTGCTGCTATCAGAGCTATAACTGCAACACTATAAATTCCACAGTCTCGGGACAATGATCTCCAATTCACCTTAATCACCTGTAAAAATTATTGTCATTACTTTCTATTCTTAGTTTCTCAGCTTAAGTGATGAACACAAACTAAGGCCATTTGACAACAGAGTGTTGAAGAGTCTTCTTCTTAGCAAGACATTTCCATTTTATGTAGGTCATCTGTGGAGAGGAGTATATTTGGATTTAAGATTGAGGAAAGTAAATGGAAAAAATAACTTATTTACGAGTTTCGTAATATGTGCTATTAATGAGATGCTTTTAAGGAGGTCAAACTGATAACACCACAAATGTGGATTACATGATTTTAATTTATTATCAAAAATTTCCAATACAATATAATTGTTGTCCAAAAATTGACCACTTCATGTGAACAATAAAATATGGCACAGCTATACTTGTCATTGTATTTGAATAGCTACGTGAGAAATGTTTATAACAAAAATTAGATTTCAATAACACATGTGTACAAATTCTTTATGTGATGATAATGATCTTTACTTAATAACTTTTAACATCGACAAAAACATACATTAAAACAAAAGGAAGAAACTTGCCTGCTTCGCAAAGAGCCCACAGCAAGCTGGTACAGCAAGTACATTGAAAACAGCACTCCCAACAACAGTGCCCACACCAATGTCTCCTTCTGTGATGAATGTGCCGACCACATTGATAAAGAGATCAGGGCTTGACACTACTGCTGCCATGAAGGTGGCACCTGCCACATCTTCTGACATGTTCATATCTTTAAAGCATATAATTCAGTAACTGTAAGTAATTTTAAGTTCTAAAATGGAAGTAATAAACATGGAAGCACTAATGTATTATTAGCAAGAGTAGGCAAGGCAAGTTGAATAGCAGCCTGCTCTTCTGCTCCGCCAATCAGCATCATCAAATCCAACTTGTCACTTATTGCCTGCCCTATATATGGCTTCCAAAAATGCTCAACCACTACACATTTAACCTGAAGATGGCAACTGCAATACTTCCCAAAACTTTGAATAATTCTCAACATTTGACATGGGTCAACCCCAAAAGCCAAAGTTACACATTAAATATTATAACAGCAAGAAAATCTGACTGGAATTAACACAATAATAAATAATGATTACATAATAAAATGCCTAATGAAGATTAAAAATAGGATCTGTAGTAGTATATTCTTAGCATTACAGTGCATGAGAGGTGGGAGTGAAAAAAAATCTCACGTCATAAACTTACAGTTCTGCCTCCCTCCGCGAAACAGACCATCTTGTCTCATTCCAACTTCACTTGCAATTGTAACACTGAGATCAAGTAATTGTATCTTGAAGGAAAGTTGTGCGCTTACGTTTACACATTTTCTGAATGCAAGGAACAAAGTAGTCATCGCAAAGCACACCAAGACACATGAAAAGGTAGCAACAGATGATTGCATGGATGGCCACTGCCCCTGCTTGCCGCTGCTCTGGGGTGAACAGGTCTGGTGGGAAATCGTTTATTGCAGGAGGAGTGCAGTTCTGAGCAGCACCTAATGTAGCAATGTCTTCTGAGTGCCATAGCAACTGGCGACCTGAATGAAAAAGACATAATTAGTTCCAAGCTTTATCTGTAAGTAATTCTTCCATATAAATAAGAATGCTGGACAATAACAGACAATAATAGGAGGAAGGCTAAATGTATTATAAAGTATCTTCTTACACAGGAACATGAACACTCCATGATCAAAAGAAGGGCGAAGTTTAGAAAGTAATTGTAAATTAATAATACGTATTCCTCAAACCCTCGGACTGATCTTGTCATGAACCTGAGGTGACATTGATCCATAGTCACCAAATATTAAAGTTGTTTAATTGGACATGGCCAAACAATTTGTGCTTTGTGCCAATTTTATTTTGAATGAAACTCTTCTGAACACAAGATCTTTTAAATAACAGCCAATTCTATGGAAGATTCCATCTTAGCCCAGTGTTGTGTACTCAGGCCTCATGGCTTGTGGGACTGGGAATGCAAATGTGGGAGGGAGAGGGGCATGCTAACAGGGGCAGAGGTCACCTGCAGTATGCCTGGGAAAGGAGAGCACAAGTAGCAAGGCAACTAGTAAGGACTCAAGTTGAGTAAAAATAAAACACTTTTCTAGAATTATCAATAATTTAACATACTCTTTTGTAAAGTATATATAACATGTGCAGAAATATGGCAATCAGTCTTTGGTGGTATAGGAGTTAGTTTACTAGCCTAGTAATCAAAAGATTTTTGTGAGATTTCAGGTTCTCATGGCAGCGAGTATGAAGATAGTTGTTTTCTGGATTGAAGCAAACTACTTGATGGACATTATGCATCATCCCAGACTTAATAAAACACAACGTTTCAGGGACTGGAATCTAACTCCATCTTCAGGTAAAACTACTCTGTTGGATCTCTGGAGATAGGGACTAGCTCTATCAATTGGGCCCAACAGAGTGAGTTTTACTTGAAGATGGAGATAGATTCCAGTCTCTGAAATGTGTTTTATTAAATCCTGGATGATGGATAACATCCAGAAAGTAGTTTGCTTCAGCAATGTACCATCATCACAAACCTTCAGAATTAGGATGTCTTCTGTGTTGTTGTGTTGTGTAATCTGCTAGAAGTTTACCAACATTTTAGACGTACCTGCTGCCTCCACCATCATGGTGATGAGTAGGATGATAGAGGCAGAAAATACCTCTGAAATGTTAGTAAACTTCTACCAGATTACACAACACAACAACCCAGAAGACATCCATCTTCGAAAGACCTTGGGTTTGATCCCAGTTATCACCAGTAGCATCAAAACAAAAGAGAAACAGTCAGTATAATGACAACCAATCACCTGAAGACATACAGAAAGAACTTCAGAAATGTCATGTATATTAAGCAATGCCCAATATAATATTTATATAATGTCCATTATGCTTCACATCTAGTTGCATCTCAAATCTTTGAAACAACTTATTATTATGACATGACAGAGTGAGATACAACAAAGTTAAGACTTTTGTAAACTATAGTGCTCAATGAGCACATAACTTCTGCATGAAAATGATAAGATAAAGTATAAAGAAAGAGCAAACAAGCTGTTCATCTTCCAGTAGTCTGCTTGAATGCTGAGGGAAAAACATGACAAGGAAGTGTTTCAAGAACACCTTTAGAATTGTCTTTAAAACAATAATTTATTTCAAAGCTTTCTGATCATCAATTATATACTTTTATTTAAAAATAATCGCACTGCCATATAAATTCACTACGCATCCATCTGCACCTTACTATTAGGTCAAGACAATATCTGAACTTATTAAAGAGGTGAAGATTCACACATTAAAGAGATTTATATTTGGCTGCCGCTGACGTCAAACAGGAAGGTATGGTTGGCTGAGGTCGGCGGGGTCAGCATCTGCCCTCTTTATATCCTGAAAGTCATGGGAACCTCCACTTGAACTGTCTGAGAAATCTCGAGGAAATGATCGACAAAATCTTCCATCTCTGAACTCTTGAAGTTTTAAGGTCAAAGCAGCTACTGCATTGAGCTTCTGTATGCCATGACAATTGTTCTCAAGTTTGGGCCCTTAAAGCGAGATATACCCTACATATTAAAGCATTTGGAGCCTCGAAAATATATAAGACTGGGTCTGGACATATTCAATACGTGACTCAGTCCTTGGGGAATCAAGTCACGTCCAGATGAGAAATTACTGCCCAATGGAGCGGCCTCTGGGTGGCGGTAATAGTAACTATGGCCACAACAACGCGTACCGAGAATTTGGAACACTCTGCTAACAAAATAATCAACTCGATGGCGAAGGACCTTTCTTGATAAGCTAGTAGTACCTCAGTTGCACAAGGCATTCCCCATGTTTTACAGGAATAAGAAGGTTCACTACCGTGTTCACAAGAACCTGCCACTGGACCTTGTTCTGAACCAGTTTAATCCAGTCTACGCCAATTTATTTGAGACCCATCTTAATACGTCTCTCCCAGATCGGTTTTCCAAGATGTTTCCATCTTCCCTTCAGGCTTTCCGATTTGAATGCTCGTGCATAATGATCTTACCTGTGTCCTGTATGCCTCGCCCATATAATCTTTCATGATTTAACAACCTTAATAGACCAACACCTCATGAAGAGTACAACTTATGAAGCTCCTTATTATGTAATCTTCCCAATGTTTGTTTCAGTCGGACGTCCAAACATTCTCTCCAGCACGTTGTTCTTAATCCCCCTTGGACCACGTAAGAATGATGACGTGTGTTTTGAAGTTGTGTAGACTAGTCAAAGCCCAAAATAATAACATCGTCATCCCTTAGTCCAAATTATCCGGAAACGATCAGGGAGTTCATTAAATTCTGCCAGAAATCGTAATCACGTAGAGAGGGTTAGAATGCAGCTGTACCTAATTCATTTCACAGAGGGCCCGAACGTCGCGGCAACGTAATTACACTGCTCTTTGTATTCAGGAGGTTCCGGGCTCAAATCTGGGCCCGAAGACCGGTTATCCTGACTAAGGCTTTTCGTGATTTCCCTTGGTCTCTCCACGCAGATGCCAAGATAGCACTTTAAATTCGAAAACTAACACTTCCACATAATTTTCAACTCATTAAACATCCCACCATTAAACGTGTCGTTAAATAAACAAGAAAACAAAATCAATTCACAATATGCTAAAGCAAGGGGAGGCTTTATCACCACTGCTTTTCAGTTTTGTTTTAGAATATGCCAACATAAATTTAGAATACAACAACATAGGACATTTCCTTCAAGACAGCATAGAAACTGGTTTAGAAGTAAATATAAATAAGACTAAAAACATATGAACATGATACGAAACCAAACTAATTTGTTATTGTTTCAAAGTTTAATTATCTGTGAAGAACACCAACATGAAATTCATTATAAAATTAACAGTAGAATAAAGTACGGAAATGCTTCTTACTAGATTATTTGGTTTAAAACTATTTTGATGAAGACAGCCATCTTCAGACTCACCGCCGCGAACACCTCAAATCCAAATATTATGATCCCATGTACTACCAAAAACACTAAAGATTAGAATATACAAATCAATTCTGTTACTAATTTTGCATGAGTGTGTAAATTCCTGGGAGAAACATAGAAGCATCCAGGAACAAGTTCTTCGGGAAAATATATCGAGTAAATCAGGATATTGCGAGATATAGTGTGTATAGGTCACCTAGTCGAAATGAAGGAGGCCACACTGAGCTAGGCAGGGATGGGAGAGAAGCGCGAGCCTCTTTGGAAATGTCAACTTGTAAGACCAAGAAAGAGACGAGAGGATAACATGAAGATGGATCTTAAGAAGACGATTTGTAAGGATGGGAGATGGATGGATCTGGCTCAGGATCGTGTCCAGTGGCGAGTTTTAGAGATCTGGCACCACATCGTTCGTACCAAACTCAGTTTGAATGTGCTGGTAACTGACACCAAATATGGATGCTGCTAGAGGTTACCTGAAAAATGCTTCCGAAAGTTTCGACGTTCTGCGTCTTTCCCGCCGACTGCTATGAGACAGTAGACTGTCGGGATACCGACCAGAAACAGAAGTCTACAGCCAAGATGAGTGGTGAAACGCCTTCTCGGCCTACACTCAGGCCTCGCGTTGGTTTTTACCATATCAAGTAAACGGTTAGGTTTGGAACAATAGCGAACGACTATTGTTCAAATAACAGATTTAAACATTCAGTACACAACAAAGTCACCTTATCTAAAAGGCCTATATATTCTCGTATAGTAAAATAATATTAATACATCAAACGTCCGAAAAATAGTTAAATCACTGTTAAACACATGTGAACTCATGTAATCACTTCCATAGGATATTTCGGAGGTAGATCCTGGTAGTAAACTTACAGCCGTTTACTTGTAACTGTTGGAAATCTGTAAATCAACTATTCATACTGCTACTTAAGAACAAATTTGTACTTGTGTGTTGGTTCAGATAAAATGCTGTGCAGCTGGTTTTGTTCCACTCGTAAATTTTAAACACAGGCTGCGGCTTAAGGAATAGTACAGACACCCAGTTTCGTAAGACGCATGCATGGTCGATCCCCCCTCCCCGTGTACGAGATGGGCCACGTGAAGACTCGAATTAGAAACACAAAAGACAGCAGCAGTACAGCGTCGTTATCTGATGTAATTACAATATATCATATGACGGATTATGCAGATAGGCCAGTGCTGTTAGCACATGCTTGCGTCGCACAAATAAACTGAGAACAAAATTTACTACTGACGGATTCCCTACGAGTGTGGAAAATACATTATCTAACATCGTAATCATCTGGCCTCTGCACTGGAATCATTTATATTTTTTGCTGATGTAATTACCGTTATTGACAGTCAACAGTACAAGGTTTCCTTGACAGCAATTGATAAACAAACTCCAGTTTTATAGACTTCCTCAAATTTTGTGTTCTCTGCATTGGAACAATTTCTATTAGTACTTTCCCTCCTGATAGACGAAGTAATTAATTAATAGATTCCAAATTCCATCACCAATTTTACACAATACAGTCATTTTACCATATCCTGGACCAATCTAATTCACGAAGATGACAGCCATCTGGGATGTTGCGCCATGTAGAAGCTGGCCACCATTTCAGAGGCGCGTACTGCCTTCATCATCAGGTGTTCAATGCCTTGATTGCAGAGGCAACATTCGCCTCTGAAATTCTGGTCCACTTCTGTATGACGCAACATCCCACCTTCATACTCATCGTCGCGAAAACCTAAAACCTCACAAGTCTAATTCGGTCAACAATTTAACATCATCTTGTATGTTTCACTGCAGTCTGCACCTGCATCTTAATTTGAAGTTATATATAGGCACAATCTTTCTTGATTTAGTCATCCTAGTTACATTGGTCTGAGATTATAAATTGTGATGATGCCCGCGTAATCTGCCTTGCATAGTCCCCTCGTCTTTCTTAGATCCAAATACCTTCCTCATCATTTCATTCTTAATTTACATTTCTCTGCCATCATACCGAGACAACGAGATATTTAAGTCTGTAACAAGAGAGAATAAGTTGTTGATATTTTGTAACGAGGAACTTCGTGATTTATACAGGTCACGTGTTCGTTGGTTACAGAGTTAATTCTCTTAGAGGCTACTATTGGTTGGGTCCCTATGTGGCTAGCATGCAGAAAAGAAGATTCCGTTCGCAAGATATTATAATGACAATGAGATGTTGAATGTTTTTCGTCATCTCGTCAGCATGGAGGCTGTTCTTTTATTATTTGTAACTAAATAAGTAACTTGCTAATACGAAAAATGTTATACCGCATAATTTAGATCTAATACGAAGAAATATGAGGTATAATATGAACACAGTTTATACATACAAACAGACACGTGTAATTTTACATTATTACATGATTCGGTGGAGCAATGAGATAATTTAATCGTAGTTTAGTGTGTTGCCACGTAAAACAGGCAGAGCATCGAGTTCATAGCGTACTCTTTCGATACGTGAACGAATTAGAAAGACACGATACATCGTCTTAATGTCAGATGTCACGCACACAAAACAAATCAGCATTTTATCATTTAGCGTAATTTTATTTTAAAGATACGACACTATAAAAGACTGCGACAAAGAAAATATCTAAGGACGAAAATTAATTAAGATGGAAGACAAGACGTAATGCCGAATTGTGGAAAGAATTTGAATTTATATCGATTATACACCTGAAGATGGTTCATTGAAAACCGAAACATGTCGTGAAAAAGATGATGCTCTAATTGTAAATCGAACATTTCGATAGAAAGAGCATCATTTTAATATATTTTAAATATTAAATGTTAATTGTAGTAATAATATTTTAATATTTAATAAAATATTTTATTGTGATTAGACGGTTAAAATTAGAAAATTATAATCATCACAATATGACGCAACATTATCATCTCCTGTGGAAAGAAAACCCATTTTACGCCTCACAAACTTCTAGTTTACTCTGTAATTTTCAAGTTAAGACAACAAAACCAAGCTACGTACCCACGCCACGGAACGTATCTCATTAACAAATTCAAGGGTAGATCTAAACAAATATTTTCGGAAACCAAATGCATTTAGGAGATTTGTTAATAGTGAAACACCCTGTATATGCGGCAGTGTCGATATATATCTCGACTCGGTGGTGCGGTTGTTTCAATCAACGTGTCACTTAATATGATGCTCTGGTCACTCGGTGAGAGGTCCTCGTCCAGTGAACATGGACTTCAGCGGTGGTTTCGGCGGTGGAGGTAGGATATATATTGTCTCTTCATTAATTAGCCCGTTAATTATAACGGTTACTGCGTTATTGGATTACAACGCCCCAACCATCGTATGCTCTACTGGACGCATTCGTAATATTTATTCTGTATCTGCACACAGTTTCTGTTTCCGTTCGAATATTTATATGGATTTTGTGATTTATCTGAAAACAGCGAAGTGTTATATTTAACGGAAAATGCCTCATTAGTGACGACGACCTGCAATTTGACGCTATTTGCTTGTGACAACTGCGCACTGGACTTCAATCTTCATGATATTGACGACATTAAATAATGTGATTATCTGCTGTGCTTCAGTGGTCAGTCGAACTGGTGTATTAGCCT